ACGACATGGTCAGGTATCTTTGTACTCGGCCTGTCCCTGCCCTTAGAAGGTAAGGTGGAAGGGCAGCCGGCCGACAGAGACAGAGGGAGCGAGTGTGTGTGTGTGTGTTGGGGGGCCGCATGTTGGGCTGCAGATGGCACTTCCTTCCTTCTGGGGCCTTGCATACAGCTCATGCAGGCGGCATGGTGCATGTAAGTATGTACAACGACGACACGTCCCGCGGGTGGTGCTGTGCGTCGGTGACCGGGGGCCAGGGGTCAGATATCATCTGTAGCATCCGTAGTCTTTACTATGGTAGACAAGAGGCGGGTGAGTGATATCATGGCCGACGTGCGCCCAACCAACACTGAACGAACGACAACCAACGACGACGCCTCGTCCGGCCCTGCCCGTCTGTTGTCTGTCTCGTTCGGCGCGGTCGGTGGCTGCCGGCGACCATGACGGACGCGACCAGACCAGACAACTGTCCGTCAAGCTATCTCTCTGTGCCAGTGGGTCGGTCACACATCCAGAAGAAGGGAAAAAAAAAAGAAAGGACAATGTGAAGAATCAAGTCCCTTCTCCTCCTCTTCATCCAGGCTCCCCTCCCCAGGGCGAAAGAATTAAGATGATAATACGAAGAAGAAATGAGAAATGTGTGAAAAGGCGCGGGTGGGAGGCCATCGAGGGTGGAGATGGCGCGAAGAGAGGGGGAATTGAGAGGGTCTTGGGTCTCCTTCTCCCACTGTTCGTCTGCCCCCATGCCATGACGAGCGAGTGACCGTGTGACGGGCAGCTGGAGCCAGTGGTCGGTCATAGTCGGTGTCGGCTCGCTGGGGCATTTCTGGGAACCTGGGAGAGAGTCTTGGGAAAGCATGGGTGGTTATTTCAGTTCGTAAGGTTGCTTGCAGGGTATATTACATCGAAATCGATAGTGGTGTGGGGAAAGTTGCAAAGACAAGATTGTGTGCGTGTGTGTGTGTGTGTGTGTGTGTGTGTGAGAGAGCGACAGACAGAGTGTGGGTGCGTGAGACACAGAGCGAGCAGGAATGAATGAACCCAGATGTCTTGCTCGAGCCGAGCATAAACGAAACGGCTGTTCTCCATTGGTGTCAGTCAGTCAGTCAGCACCGTAGCGTAGCAACAGCGCAACGGTAAAGAAACAATTAGATGGCTCGTCATCCTGCACAATGCCGTGTCCTGCTGTTCTGGGGTCATCGACAACAGCAATGAAATGTGCGCTTGCTGCGTGTTTGCTGCTGGGCCAGCAGAGCTGCTGAAGTACGGAGCACTACACTATGTAAAGTCTACTGCGCACTTCGTACTTCGTGCTAGCTTTCCCTTCCGCCCCCTCCTTGGAGATTTCCCAGCGACGGGAGGAGGTACATGCCGCAATTGACTGAGGGACGGTTCGTTTTCCGTCCATGGACCCTGTCCCCCCATGGCCGGTGGTGGACTGAGATGCACGCAAGATGTGGCCGTCTCTCTGCTGTGGCCCGCCGATGGAGCGTGCTCGCTGCCATGCCCCAAGGAGGCTTCTCGTCCGGCTTCGATCCAGAAGCGGCCGGCCGTGGCTGCGTGTGAATGGTGTTCCAGGAGGCCGGGAAGGCGAGCAAGGGCTCGCATGGCATGGTACCTACGGCATGGCATGGCATGGCCTGGACGAGGATCTTGAGATGCAGCGCGGGTGGGATCAGAGAAGGAGGTGGTGAGCGAGCATCCATGACCAGTCCAGTTTATTCCACCCACCCACCCGCCCGCCTCGATGCGATGCGCGCGATACATAGTGTAGGTGTCCACGGAGCGGATGCAGCATGTGTATGAGGGTGGATCTTGACGACCAGTCGGTCTGTAAGTCTGGCGCAGTTTTGGGGGTTAGAGTTTGCGTGTCAACTGACCGCCTTGCGAGAGGTGCTATACCTTGACATCAAGTCATGTATATGTAAGGCTATTATTCATTTATTCGCAGGAGGATCATGTTTGGGGGCAGGCCAGGTCAGATCCGTTGCTTACCTCGGACAGATTAAATCATACGCAGTCATGTAGACAGAATCGTCACGTTCGTGCCTTTGCATGGATTCAGTTCACCGTCGTTTACACTCAAAATCTTGACCACCCTTCCATGGCCCTGTACAACGGGAATAACCATCGCCGGAAATGTCGGGCTCATGAGGGGGGCAGAAGCAGAGTTGATTGATGGGCTGGAGGAGGCAACTCAAGTGAGGCATGTTTGCGTGAGTTAAGCGCCAGCTGCACCGGTGTGTTGTCACGGAGTTGTCGCTGCGGCATGGGGGCGGTATGACTGTTGCGGCGCCGAGTCTGGTGCGGCAAACCCAGGCCAGCACGAGGAGGTGAGTGGTGTTAGTGCCGTCCGGAATATGACGAGTCGGATTTTCGATGAGCGTGAAGCTGTTTGGTCTTTTGGATCATGATCGCCGCGGAACGCCCTCCTCCTTCGCGCAGTACGCACAGAGGGCGGTACTATCGAAAGTACGGGGTCCCGCTGCTGGCGATGGCAGGCAGGCAGGCATGCTGTGGTAGGTAACAGGGTAGACTAACAAGTGGATGAGACGAGATCGACTTTCACATCTCCTCGTCTCTCCTTCTCGAAAAGACGGTGACGGTGACGTTAGAACAGACCAGGGGCGGTTTCCGTGTTCCGCGAGGGAAAATGAGGAGCCAAAACGTGTTCAAGGTGCAGCTGGGATGGGCTAGGGCGGCAGGGATCCAAGCAGGGGGAGCTTCATTGCAGCGGTGGAGAGGCCGTTTCTCAGTTTCCCAGGCGGGCTTCTGCCTCACAGTTGTAAGGTGGTGGAGGAGGAGGAGGAGGAGGAGAGCACTCTGTCTGGACCTGGTGGTTTGTGATGTGTCAGGGACAGGGGCAGCAAAAGGAATGTGGATGCGCCATGGGTGCCCAACATCCAAAAGGAAGTCGTCCAACGTGGATGATGCCGTTTACACCGTGTGCCTATGCCTATGCTGTGCTGTGCTGTGCTGTGCATCGCATCGCGTCACATCGCAGCAGAGCAAAGCAATTGGCCTGGTCTGGCTTGGTTTGGTTTGGTTTGGTTTGGTTTGGTTTGGTTTGGTTTGGTTTGGTTTGGTTTGGTTTGGTTTGGTTTGGTTTGGTTTGGGCTGGATCGCTTCTTGTCCGTGGTGGAGGGAGGGCGATGAGGGCACGCCATAGTTCACCTCCGGCGACGCAAGAGCGGTGCTGTAAGTGGTGTCGATGGTGTATGTTGCTTAAGTCTAATCGATCTCAGCCCGCGCATGGGATTCCCTCTTCGAATCGAGGCTCGGGAGGGCGTCGACGTGGGTGGAAGCGGCACCAAAGGCAAGGTAAAGTAAGTATTAGGCAGTAAACAGTGTTGAGATAGAGTGTGCTATGATGATGAAGGTTCGCGGCGGGCGGTGCTGGGACGAAGAAAACACGGGGGGAAACGGCGGCAGAGACGAGACGGACGACGCTCCGGTGGCGGGGGGAAAGAAGAAGAAAGAGGAGTGCAGAAAGAGTTGCAAAGGCAAATTGGCATTGGCATTGGCATTGGCAATGGAATGATGAACGGCACTTGTTGGGTCTCAGCCTTCATCTGTTGTTATGTCAAGTGCTAATAATGAATGCACTCTTCAGTCTCGTTCAATCATGACCCCTCCTTCTTCCGGCTTACTTTCTGCTCCATCCCTCCCGCCCTCCATCATTCCGTCTCTTGCTCTGGTTTCTCTATCCGCACTTGGTTTATGTCCCCGTCTCCCCGTCCCCCAGTCCCTAAGTCCGTCCGTCAGTCATTAAAGCATCTTGCGCCTTGACCCAGCGGTCCCTTCTAATTCCGTCATCAAATAGACTTCTGAGGGCGCGGCATTTCCTTCCTAATCCCATCCCACAGGAGCCTTACGGTAAGGGAAGGGATTGAAGCTGAGTTGGGGCAAGGGGGGTGGTAAAAATACCTGAATCGCCTTCATCTGAGTTGAGTGGAAATCTGAGCACAGCAGCTCTGCGTAGGTGTGTGGAGGGAGGGAAGAGAAGCACGCGTGTCTGCCCAAACCCTCGGAAGCCAAGGGTCCAAGGACCGGGACTCGCGACGACTAATACCCAACCGAAGACGAGCAGTTTGCCTGACTCTTGATGTCGCAAGCCTTGTCCGCCAGCCACCGGTGTAAGTGGCCATCATCCATCTGTTCCTCTGGAGAAGAAGAAAGAGACTGGAAGTAGAGCCTCACCCGAGGAATGCGTGCTCTTGGCGCCGTGCTCCAATTGTAATAAATGCGGTGTCATGCTGTGCTTGTGCAACTCATCACGTTATCAAGGCGCGGTGCGACATGACTTGAGCTGGCCTCGCTCTCTAGGGAACAAGGTAAGGCCCAGGTGAGTCCAAGGTGAGTGAGAGCCCGGGCAGCGGGCAATCTGGACCTAGGTATCCGTGGGCTGGCACCAAGTTCCTGGCACCAAGTTCCTGGCACCAGAGCTGCCTCCCCTGCAGCTCACAGAAACATGCCGACCGGAGCGCTGCACTAGGCTGGGGCACTTGGGAAACTCTGATGGCCATGTACCCCCCCTGCGGTGATTGTGTGTGACGATACATGTGCCCAGGTCACCTCCCCGTCACCTCAAGCTCCGCTATCGTTTCTTCTGCTTAGGTAGCTCTGGTTCCATTCTCTTTCCTCATCTGGGTTAATTAGCAGGCGATGCCATGGCAGGAACCACCACCATGCCATTTCGAACTGCTTCTCATCTGCCCATCGCCCATCGTCGCCAACATCCCTCAACCCAGACAGCACCCATACCAGAGCCGAGCATCAACGAATTTCCTTTGCCTTCTCTGCTTCTACCGAAAGCAGCTTTGTCTCCATACACTCTGTCCAGGCCAAGGGACCGCATCACGCATGTTGCGCATACCCACCCGGGGACCCTCGGCCGTCACGTCGCCAACAATCTCGCCATGCTTCAAGCTACTTGACCGATTACCAAGTTCCGCTAGCCTCATCATCCATGGCTAGGTGCGCAGTACCCTTTCTCCGTTTCTTCAACCGCCTGCTCCAGCCTCCTCCCGTCCGCCTGGCTGTTGGACTTGGGGCTGGTGCAGAACACAGTAAACGACACCCTTGCTCTCGATGTCTGCCGCCTCATCAAACGGACCTGGCGATGATGCAATGAGCGCCCGTTGGCGTCCGGTCAGGTCAGGCCCAGCGTACCGTATCCAACAATTACACAAGTACCAGCTACGACGTGCGAGCTCGTTGCCCAGATCACGTATCCAAGATTCCAGACGCCAGAGTTTCCGCCTCTTCCTCTACAGGCCGGCCATGCGAACCAGGGCAGAAATCTTCCGCCCCCAGACTCCGTGGACGGGCTTCCCAAACGTCACCGTTATTCAGATGGAATCGACGTGGCTGCCGCCCGCTGCACATCACATAATGAATTATATGTGGCTCCTCTCTGCTAGCCTCCGGCTTTCCGATTCGACGTCCGCCCGACAAACTGCCAAATCGACATGGCAAAGGCTAAAGTACCCTCCTTGCAGGCTGCCTGACTGTGGGATTCCCACCCGGGCATCTGCTCCAGTGCCTGGCCTGCCTCGCCTCAGAGCTGACGAACCGGCTGGACCCCTGGGAACAATGGATGTGACTGGTTGCCACACACTGGCGGGCGGCCTGCCGCCGAGACACTGGTCCTGGTTCTGCTGCTTGCGCGCGAGGAGCAATGGCGATCTGCTCACTCCAATCACCCTCAGCAACGCGGCTTTGGATCCTAACCCGCCCCAGACAGGCGGGCTTCTTGGGACGAAAAGTCTTTTGCTGGGATCCGTCGACCTGGACGTTTGACCCTACCTACCTCACCACCACCGCATTACAATGTACTTCCCAGCAGGCCAGCAGCAGCGCGTGTACGTAGATGCCGTTGTACCTGACCCGTCGACCTCACTTTTGCTCTACGAACCACGCTAGGCGACAAGCCGGCTAGCGTCCAGGTAGCTTCCATGAGCCTGGCCCAAGGACATCGTCTTCAAGTCTCTTCTCTCTTGCTTCTTCCCCGGGGACCAGCGCAGGGACCTCCGAATCCCGGCCGATTTTGTTTTTTCCCCTCTCTTCTCTAGTCTCTACCATTCTCTCCGCGCTCCGCCGGTCGATATGAGGGAGAAATTGTCCTACATACCGCGTTTCTTCCTCCTCTCAAAGTCGGTCAGAAGAGCGGTGTTGGACCAGCCTCCCCGAGCCTTGCATCATGCAGAGGGATACATGTTTGTGCAGAAAGAGGGATATCGCAGTACCTCTTCTCCATTCAGGCATATCTGACTGCCTGCTGCTGACCGTCGCCCAAAGTCGATACACACCAATACACAGGAGCCCATCTGTGCGAAATAAGGCACGGGATGGATATCGTGGAGCGCCAGATGTGCTCCCATCCTTGCCGTCGACGAAGCTGCCCTAGCGCAATAACGGTTGCGGAGCGCATCGTCATCTCGCTATGCCTTCTGGTAATGACAAGCTGCCGGTAGAGTCTCGGCCGAGCAGCAGTTGCTACAGACCTTCAGGCGTTCGGGCTGCGCCATTCTGGACGGACGGTAGCTGCGAAGCATCCGTCGCTTCTGTCCGTCATTGCTGGGTTGGCCCGAGGAGAAAATATACAGGCATATCCCAGTCTTCTTCCTGGCGTTCCGGACTGGCTCAGCAGTCAGAACCTTTTTATCCTCTGTGCGGCAAGCATGGCTAGCCTTCCTGGAATACAAGCGTTTTCCCGCATGACAGGCCCCGGAGAGAGAGACTCATAAAACAAAACAACAGAGAAAGTGAGGAAGCGAGGGGAGGTAAAAAAAAAAAAAAAAAAAAAAAACACAAACTTGTCATGGTCAAGGTCCCAGTCAAAGCCAAGCAAGGCACGCAGATGCAGACTGCAGACGACGGGGACGCAGAAGCAGACAGTCTGCAGGCAGACAGACAGCAGACACGCAGCTAGCAAGACAACCTGTACAGAGGTACGGTCGTGTCAGAAGGGGACTTGTACCGCTACTTGTCTCTGGTCCCGAACGAAGAGCCACCGGTCGACTAAGCCCTGTCAATGTCTGAGCACCCTATGGCGCCGAGAATGGGGCGACCCCCCGGTGTTTTCCTGGCAACATGCACCCCGGCCAGCACACGTCCACCGCAACCCAACAAGCTGCTGCAGCTTCACCAGGTATCCGTATCCATGTCGCCGTTCATCCTCCTCCACCACCACACCCCCATGCACCTTAAGCTCCCCGGCAAGTTGCCAGGGCTCGATAAGAACGCTATGCCGCCATGGGAGAACTACGCTAGGGCTGGACAGAAAAAAATCAAATAGACCTGGCTCCTCCCGACCTTGTCTAGTCGTCGTCTGTGTCGCGTAATGAACTACGGTTACATTGGAGCAATAGACCTGCGAACTTCCTGACGATTCCCTTCGATCTTACTTTCTTATTCCTACCGATACCGCCGCCGGCCAACCCGTCCTGTCAAGGTTTCGAGTCAACTGTCTCTGGGAAACACGATCCAAGCTTTGCTACTTTAAACACGCAACCCCAACAACCCGACATCAACACCGCCTCTCTCTCTCTCTCTCTTCGAAAGAACGGAGCTTGGGGGCCAGTTCCTCGACACAGCAACATCCACCAGCTCGCTTACAAGACGCCATCACCTCGCCCGACTGTCCACGCTGGTAGGTAGATCCGGCCATAAACAGTGCGTAAGATCCCCTTGGCCATTCATGGTCTGGGATTCGTTCCTAGAGTCATGAGTGGTCCGCTCAGCTGCATCCCACCTTTCACCGCATCTAATCCTGACCCATCAGTACCGCCAGCCCCCGACATACATCTTGGTGGCCACCTCGGGCATCCTTAACTACCCTCCATCAACCTCCTCCGCAGAAGGACTTTCATCAACTCGTCCACGTTCTCTCCATCATCTCCAAGGGACTATCACGACATCTTGATAGCACACGGCTTAGACGCTAGCTACGCTAATCACCCAACCAACCTTCGACAACTCTTGCAGCCACCCATTTTTACTGTCCAAGGTCAAGAGTCTAACATCATCGACGGCCCTCCCAGCCGTTGCCGGAGCCTCCTCATCTTCTCTCCTTCTACGACCGACTTCTAGCAAATTGGGACTGTTGGCTTCGACCCAGTTAGTCCCACCCCCAGTCGACAAACTGGCGGTCTCAGCAGTTGCCCGGCCTTTTGTACAACATCCTCAACGAAGCCGAGAGGCTAAGGAGAGCGATTACGCACACTCAGATCCGTCAACTGCGCCTCGACAGTCTGGTTTCGACAACGGGCACACATCCGAACACCCAGCCTCCCACCCGGATCAGGATCACTCCTCCGCTTCAAGCACTGGTCAGGGCGGTCAATGTTCGGGCCCTCAAGGCCAGGAGTGCGAAGGGGACCAGGTCTCGATGTCACAGAGGGGACCTGCACCTACATCTCGGCCTCCATCGCAGTCACCCCCTCGCCCTTTCCAACAAAGCTCTCTTCCAGGACAACAAGATGTTGCTAGGGATCCGTTCGCTCCACGCTCGTCGTTGGGCATCAGAGGCTTGATCAACCCCTCCGAGGCACACGCAGAAGGGTACCAGGGGGAGACTTCGCAACCTCGGAGTGCCGAGTCCCAGGGCTCGCCCTACGGCATGCCCCCGAGACACTACAGCACGTCGGATCGACCATACTCGTTTCCTGGTCCCCCGGGATCACAGCCAGTAACCCCAGCCGGGCACCCAGCCACGACACCTCTTGGGTACACTCCCTCGGAGAGCTCGCCAAAGGGCGGCTTCCCCTTTCCGACGATGGGCAGGCAAGTTCTCAGCCCCGGGGAAACACGAGCAGCCAGTGTCGGACAGGGAAGCATCAAGGGTCACGAGGGCCAACACACCCCCTTCCTACCCCCTTCAGCGCCGCGAGCGAAACGGCCTTACGAGGAGGAGCCAAGTCGTCCGCCGCCTGGTCTCCCATTCTCCGGCCCGCCATCCCTTGGCCCTCCGCCTTCGACCATGGGACCAATGACGACGCCTCCCCGATCCATGTCCCAACCAATGGTTGGACAGCTACCACATGCTGATAGGCCTCAGCTGCCTCCGATGGCACGAGATCCCAGAGGACCGGAATACCAGGGCCAGCAAGGCATGATGCCTTCCGGGCCCAACTACCCGCCACAAGTCTCCCCCCCCGGCCCCGTGTGGTCAGCCCCTGGGAGCGGAACGGCCTTGTACCAGAGCCTGCGGTCCGAATCTGCAAAGGCGGTGATGGAGGGCGGGATAATGTTCAGGATTGGAGGGGACAGCGGGATGGTGGTGCCCGTCGACGTTCACCAGGCGTCGAAGCAGGCGGACGAGAAGCGGCAACGCAACGCCGGCGCGTCCGCACGGTTTAGACAACGGAAGAAGGAAAGAGACGCAGAGCAGATCGCCACCATGAACAAGCTGGAGCAGAGGAATCGGGAGTTGGAGTCTCGCCTGCGGGACTTGACTCAAGAAAGAGACTTTTACAGGGATGAGCGGAACCGGTTGCGTGAGGTGGTCCTGCGCACACCACTTAGTGACATGGCGAACGGGCCACCCAGCCCGACGTCTTCACGGAGCGGTGGTTCGATGGCAGAGACCAGCCCAATGGCGCAGGCACCCATCCTCTCTCACCCCCAGCAGGGCTACGCGTCAAGCGAGTCGTCTGTGGAGAGACCGGCACGACGACGAAGGACCGACTCCGCGCCGACGCCCGAGTTCTCGGTCCCATCGTATGGCACGCCGGTCCCCCAACCGGGCAACTTGCCTCCGATGCAGGCTGGAGCGTACGGCATGATGCAGCGCCCACCTTCGACGGCCCCCGGCGGTGAAAGACTGCCTCCTCTCCGAGCTATGGAAGGACCCTTCGGAGCTCCCGGGACGGAGCCGGGAATGGTTCAAACCCCCGGCGGTCCGATGTACCCCAGCTACACCCGCGTCCCCCACGAGACGGGGTTCGCCAGCAGACCCCCTGGCCCGCCGCCTCACCACGGACACCATCCGCATGACCAGGGCCAGCGGTGAGAACCGATACGACAGAATACGGCCTTCAATGAGCCAGAGGTTATTTGACATTTTCGACACTCGTTTACTTTATACCCACTTCGTTTCGCTGCTTCCCCGTTCGAATCGTATGGCTACAGATTTATAATAGGAGGGGCGGCTTCAAAATGGAACAATTGATTTGGGGTTCAGGGACTTTTTCACACAAAGACTCGCATAGTTGGGCGACCGACGCGGACGTTTTGTTGGTTGTTACCGGAGTTGGCCGTTTTTGGGAGGAAAGAGAAGGGATATCTCCACCATCAGGATCAGGACAGAAAAAGAAAAACAGAGCAGGACTTGGTCCAGAAGATTATTCATGTGTTCCCGGCATTATGTGTATAAAAAAAAAGGACAAAGCCTTCAAGGGCGGTTCAAGTTGGTGTTTTCAAAGTTGTCTTTCAGGGCGCCCGAGACGAAGCATTGGCTATCTGTTTCTCTTGTATTGCTCTACGCCGTTGCTGGCGGATACCTATTTGATTGTGGTGGAATCTGTACACTATGTGTTTATCACATCTGTTTGAGCAAAGGGTCTTGGCGAGCGAGGACAGAGACCGGCGGGTGGATGGATGCCCTCGGGCGTGGGCCGGCATTACCTGTGCTAGGTTCAAACAGTACTAGACAGCCGCGTGTTGGAAAAAAGCAACAACAGCTTTATGTTTAACTTGACAAAGTCCCTCAATCCCGGCTTTTGCCTTGCTGGAAACCGATGACGAGGAAGATGATGGCGCGAGCCCCCCTTCTGACGGGTCCAATGGCGTGGGGGGGATCGTGACTTGGCAGTTTGGTTTGAAAAGGCAACAGTGAGGCGAGAGAGGGGTGTTGTTAGTCCAGCTCGATCAGGGACCGCAAAGAGAAAGAGAGAGACTGGGAAGATGCCCGTGTCGGGGGTTGCTTGTGGTGAAGGCACAGCGCAGCCCGGTGTGTGGGCAAGTCAGCTTATGCCACAATGCAAGTCATCCATCCATCATCGGAGGCGCTGGGCTGGCTGATCGACCGGTCTGTCGGTCGCGCCCCCCCTTTGAGGTGAGGTACTCTACCGTGCACACCCCCTTCCCTTCAGCCAGATAAGGCAAACCCCAAGCATCCGAATGTGTTCCTAACGTTTACCCTAGGCCAGCTGACAGGGCGGAAGAGGTGGGATCACAACTGCCTTTTGCATGTTTCCTTGAGGTTTCTGACAGAGTTGTTGTTGTTGTTGTTGTTGTTGTTGTAATGAGGGGGGCCAACCACTCAGCCACGTCACGCACCACTTCTAGGATTGAGGAGGGGAGCCCACCCCTTGCCGTCAGCTAGACGTGAACTAAACTAACTGACTCTTTTGGGGAGAGTAAGAGAGGCACATATTAC